CAGGAGACTCGCTTGAGCCCAGGAGTTGGAGGTTGCTGTGAGTATGATGCCATGGCACTCTACCCAGGGGGATAGCTTGAGGCTCCATCTCAAAAAAAAAAAAAAAAAAAAGAGCTAGGATTACAGATGTGGACCACTGTGCCTGGCCTAGTTTCATTTCTAAGATGAGGATGGTAACACCTATATAGTAAGGTTTTTAAAAGATTAGGTAAGGCTGGGTGCAGTGGCTCATGCCTATAATCCTAGCACTCCGGGAGGCAGAGGCGAGTGGATTGCTTGAGCTCAGTAGTTCAAGAGCTGTCTGAGCAAAAGCCAGACCCGTGTCTACTAAAAATAGAAAAACTAGCTTGGTGTTGTAGTGGGTGCCTGTAGTCCCAGCTACTTGGAAGGCTGAGGTAATCGCTTGAGCCCAGGAGTCTGAGGTTGCTGTGAGCACTCTACCCAGGGCAACAGAGGGAGACTCTATCTCAAAAAAAAAAAAAAGATTAGGTAAGATAATAAAAGTGAAGTTTTCAAGACGTTGCCCAGCTTATAATAGCTCATCCTATAAAAATTAACTATTATTACTGTCATATCACCAACTTATGCCAGCACTTCTTGGAACACTGTGTCACAGTTATCTGTGCACAGCCACATTATCCTTGCAGGCTGAGACCACGGACTAGCCATTGCTTCATGAGACACATCACACCGCCACACATTCACTGGCATCCATATTCACTGAACAAATGAAAGGCCACACAAATTTAGAAAAATAATACATATACATATGTCATACATAACACGCATTCACACCCACATACCTCATAGGAACCTCAGTGAGAAGATTATAGCTCATATCTAATACTTCTATCTTCTTTGCATCGCAGGCCCAGTCAGGAACACATTCTAGCAGGTTTCTACAGAAAATACATAAATAAAAGGCATCATTTAAGATGACAAGGGGGATACAATGCACTAGACTGTACTGTATCTGTTAACCAGTCTGCACCCCCGACAGGGCATCCACTGCCTGGAACACAGTGTGTACTCAGTGACTGCTGCTGTTCTGGAAGGGTGGGCAGACACAAGAACATGAGCACATTTCACGCTGGACCGACTATGCTGTATGCTCAACAAAGGCTTCAGCAGCAAGAAAGCACACGTATGGGGGATGGAATGAGGGGCAGAGGAGGAGAGACTTACTGGAAGAGAGACTTACTCCTTTTATTGTAAACAAACCTTTGACGCTGAGGAAGAGTTCCACAGGAAATGGCTGGGGAAGACACGAAGCAAATTCCAGGGAAAATGAACAGAACGAATACAAGTGAGGAAGTAGGGACAAAAGATAACTAGCGGGGGGAAAGTTTCAAACCGTTTACAATGAGAGCTCAAATATTAGTAGAGCACTGGGTCAAAACTCAGTAAAAGGAATTTTCTTTTCAGATGTGACTTAGCTTCTCCAGGCCTCAAGGTATCTATTGATTAATCAGTGGATAAAATGAGGCAGAATGGGGCGGTGCCCGAGGCTCAGTGAGTAGGGCACCGGCCCCATAAACCAGGGCAGAGGGTGGCAGGTTCAAACTTGGCTCTAGCCAAACTGCAACAAAAAAATAGCCAGGTGTTGTGGCAGGCGCCTGTAGTCCCACCTACTTGGGAGGCTGAGGCAAGAGAATTGCCTAAGCCCAGGAGTTGGAGGTTGCTGTGAGCTGTGATGCCACAGCACTCTACTGAGGGTGACAAAGTAAGACTCTATCTGTAAAAAAAAAAAAAAAGAAGCAGAATGAAGAGAAGAGCTACATAAGAGAAACACAGATCACAGATACCGCTATGTTAGCCTAGTGAAGGAAACATTTTGCCTGAAATGATCCAGGTGAGCTCCCTAACAAATATGACATTTGAGTTAGAATCTGAAGAAGGCTGTACAGTGACCTGATGTGAGGAGTACACTGCAAACACGGGATGGCAACACGAATTAAGAGCACAAAGGCAAGAAAAACCACGACATGCTATGTGTGTGGGAAAACAGGCAGCTGGGGATGATGCAGTGCTGGGGGAGGGACCTGGGCTGCAGATCTGGGTACGGCTGACATTACACACCACTGGAATCGCTGGAAGAGAGTGAGGGCATGTCCAGTGAGGCAGGGTGGACCAAGGACTGAACCCTGGGGAGAATCGATCTTTAGAGGGCTAGCTGAGGAGGAGGAGTATGCAAAAAGAGACAGAAGGTATGAAGAAAATCAAATCATATCAGCCAGCCAGGGCAATGGCACATGTGAAGAAGAGAGAACAAGGTTAACTGTGTCAACTCAGAGAAGATACAGTAAGAAAAGGACTCAGCCACACTGTTGGTAGGATCAGCAAATGGGAACTGAGGAAAGTAAGTTAACAAATGCAAATAATTCTTCAGAAATTTGGAAAAGGGGATGAGACAGACTAGACAGTACCTAGACGGGCCATGAGGTAAAGTGAATGTTTTATGTTTGTTATGACAGAAGAGACATCAGTGTATGTACAGACTGAGAAAAAGACAATGAACACACATTGGGGGCGGGGGGGCCTGACAGAGCAAGGTCCAGAGCAAGGGGAAGAGAGAGAGCCGCGGGCACAGACAGTTGAACCTGCCTTGAACAGAGAAGAGAAGCTGAGGATGGATATGAATCTACACGAATTTAAGCAAGGTGGTAAGAAACTGAGGGAATCACCCACAATGGCCTCTATTTTCTCAATCAAGTAGCTAAGCTCCAGCATGAAAGAGATGGGGTCGGGGTACAAAGCAGAGCAATCTGTAACAGACACTGAGGGGACTGAAAGGACCTGACTAGAGAGCCAGTAAGCTCAGGAAGAGGCCGGACATGATGAACTTTTAGAGATGTCTATGGAGGTGATTTCCTTCAGCCACGATCAAGCTCAGTGGAAAAGGTAAAATATTATTATTGACCTATGTTGGGATTTTGCTGGGAAAGTGAAGACAGAGTGAAACCCCAAGACGGGGGTCTAAAACAACAGGATCATCATCATCATCATCACCATAATAATAAAGTTAACAACAATAAACAAAAACCTCCCTATAACAGCCAGTAATTACGAAGAGACGGCTGCATGTTCGGCACCCTACTATGTATTCTGCATTTATTATCCACTTAATCTCCACAATAACCCTGGCCACACGGAACCCTGCTTTGGGCACTCTACATTCCCAGCACTGATGCTGCTGCCCCCAACTCTTGTTAGATTGTTAATCTCCTACTAGACTGTAAAACCCAACCATTGAATCCAGAATGCCTAACACAGGAGTTAAAAGGAAATGAATAAAAGAAAAGCAAACTTCATTTCTGTTTGCTCCTGGCCACCAACAGAAGGAATAAACTCCTCAATATAATTAATGTTTCTCCCCAAATCAGACCAACATGAGCCCCTAAAGCAGTGGTTCTCAACCTGTAGGTCACGACCCCTTTGGGAGTCGAACGACCATTTCACAGGGGTCACCTAAGACCACCCTGCATATCAAATATTTACATTACGATTCATAACAGTAGCAAAATTACAGTCATGAAGTAGCAACGAAAATAAGTTTGGGGGTCACCACAACATGAGGAACTGTATTAAAGGGTCATGGTATTAGGAAGGTTGAGAACCACTGCCCTAAAGTATTTTTAAAAATAGAGTAATTTATTTAAAGCCACTATCTAAAAATCAAGAATCTGATTTCAATCAATAACAAAAAAATCACTGCCATGAAAATAATAGGTCTTCTTTGTTGGCATCTTATCCTAAATCTACAGTTTTTAGATAATGATTAACTCTTAGGGACTTTCTAACTCCAAGAGGATCCTTCCTTTAACTATACGGTATAGCTATTAAACTCATTCTTCCACTCATCCCTTCTCCAGGTTATCTACATATTTCAATACATTTAGATTTTTTCCACCTCTAAACTACCAAAGTATCTATGTGTGTCTCTTAACTAGAAGAATCAAACAAGCACCACCCTCATAACAGACACTCACCGGGAGAGTTCTAGAGAAGTGAGCAGACTGGGGACTGGGTAGACATTCACTGCTGTCAGCCCTAATCAGAAAACAAATAGGTGTTAGTGGCATCATCTAGAGGAAAACGACAGAGTAAACAAGGGGAAAGCAGCTTAGTGAAATCACCAGACAGAAAACCAACATCCTCTACGGAAAACTAATGAGAAAAACCATCAGTAATGTACCCTGACTGCTTGATCCCCCTTTGAAAACAAATGCGACCACCAACAGAACGACCTCTGTATTGACTGGACTTACTGTACATCAGCCAGCTGTTAAACGCTAACAGTAACAACTCAGCTTTCCAACTTGAAAAAATTAATAATTACATTTTTACTGGCAATACTTTTTTTTTTTT